CCTTTCTCTGGGCCTCGGCCTCGCGCTGGAGCCGTGCCTCCTCCTCGGCAGCGGCCGCCGCTGCTTCCTGCCTTTGCCGTTCGGCTTCCGCCTCGGCCGCAGCCGCTTGCCTCCGCTGCTCTTCGGCTTCGGCTTGGGCTTGGGCCTTGCGGGCCTTCTCGGCCTCGGCCTGAGCTGCGGCTTCGGCGGCCTCGTCGGCTTCGCGCTGGAGCTGGAGCTGACGCTTGCGCTCGTGCTCCGCGAGCTCCTTCATGAGGCGGGCCGACTCGGCCTCTTCCTCGTCCCGCTGCCGCTGCTTCTCTCGGGCCGCAGCCGCGTCTTCACCGCCGCCAAAGGCGTGGCCGAACAGAGGGTCGCCGCCGGCACCGGCGTCGGCGCCAAAGCCCGAGTCGCCGAACAGATCATCGAACGACACCACCGGCTGCAGCCACGAACGTAATGATGAGCACACGCGCACACGCACACGACCGCACGCAGGCACGGGCAACCATAGAGAAGAGGAGACGTGCACCTTCTTGGCGGCGGCGGGGCGCGCAAAGACAGGGTTGTCGTCACCAAAGAGCGAGTCGGCGCTGAACAGGGTCGAGGCCTGCTTCTGCTGCTGCTGCTGCTGACGCTGCTTTTCCGTCGCTTCGGCCTCGGCTGCCGCCGCCGCCGCAGCCTCCCGCTTCCGTTTTTCCTCCGCAGCCGCCGCGTCGGCTTGGGCCTTCCTCTCCCTCGCCTCGGCCTCTTCTCGTCTCCTGCGTTCCTCCTCCTCCTTCTCGGCCTCCAGTTTCAGTTTCCTTTGCCTTTCCTTTTCGTCTTCCTCTTCTTTTCTCTTCTTCGCTTCTTCCGCTTCCGCGGCGGCCTTCCTTTTCCTCTTCTCCTCCTCTTCTTCCTCTTCTCGTTGTTGCTTCTGCTTGAGAGCATCGGCATCGACATTGGCGTCGACACTGGCGCCGCCGCCGCTGGCCGCAGGGGCGCGAGGGGTCCACACCGGGTCGGCGTCGCCAAAGAGGTCCTCCCAGACCTGCTTCTTCTTGGCCTGCTGCTGCTGCGCGGCCTCGCTCGGCGCCGAGTCCTCCCCAAACAGCGACGGCGCCGCCGCCCCGAACATGCCAGCGGACTTAGCCGCCGCCGCCGACGACGTGGTGGCGGTGGTGGGCTTCTTCTTGGCCGGCACCGTGTAGCCGAACGAGAGCGGGTCGTCTTCGTCTTCTTCCTCGTCTTCCTTCTCGACCACATTGTCTTCGTCATCGAAGAGGTTGGTCGCGGCCACGGGCGTCGTCTTGATGGCGGCGGCGGCGGTGGTGATGGGGGTCTTCTTGGTGGTGGTGGCCAGGGGGTCGTCATCGTCATCGTCGCTGCTGCCGCCGAGCAGGTTCTCGGTGGAGGCAAAGATCTCGGCGGTGCGCACCTGGTCGCTGGCGGCCAGCGTCGGCTGCAGTCCGGCCAGCTTCGAGCCGCTACGCGCGCGCCGCTGCCGCTCGTCTTCGTCTTCGTCCTCCGTCACGGTCGCGCGACGCGTCGAGGCCGGCGATGACGTCTGTGGTGATTATTTATAATATAAATAATCGATTATTGAAAAGATAATAAATGCACTGTTTATATTCTATGTTTACATTATTAGTATTTAATTAAATATAAAAATAAATAAATGTAACGAATTGGAGGGGGCGTACGGCATTGTTGGTGGATGAAGAGAGGGAGGAGGTTCGGGATGAAGCAGAGGTCTCTGCAGACGATGCAGTTGAAGATGGAGAGGGCGAAGTGGAGGGTTGGCCGCCGCCCAACCAACCAAGGAGCCCCTCCTTGGCCGGCGCTGGAGCCGCCCCCGGCTTGGCCGGCGCGCTCTGCTGATTTCCCATTCCTATCCAACCTCAGCAGAAAAGCAAGCAAGCAAGCTGTCGCCTCTCCCACAAAGATGAACTCTCAAGCTCGATCCAGCTGATCAAAGTGAGATGCGTCTGCAACCCTTCTTTCCTTGTCTCGCCCTTACTCGATATTGGGGGGGGGTTGAGACCACAGAAAAATGGCCTCCTCTTTCTTTGGTCGACACATTCCGCGTGCAGGAAAAACACGCACCACTGCACATGCACACACGCAAGCCACAGCACTTGCCACGACGCACGAGCCTGGCGAATCCCAAAGGATGGTACATCGTGGTGGACACGACATGTGGCTGAGCCATGGCGATGGCGCGCATTGCGTCATACACAGCTGAACTGTCTTCCAAGAAGGCCATTTGGTGGTAGTAGTGCCAGCTTCCAACCTCCTGCCCCACTACAGGGAAGGACAACCACAATGTTTAAAACCTTGATGTGAACCTTTTTTGAGTTTCAATATTTAAGATCTATCTAACTCTTGAGTACACACCCACAGACAGACCAAGAACAGACCAACACATTGGCTCAAGTAACACACTGACACACCAGCATACCAACATACACCACTACTACACTTCCCCCTTTACTAACTGCAGAGTTGTGGATGAGCAAGATAAATTAGGCTTCCTCTCTTTGGTAAGGTCAATGTGCAAGGCAAGGCCATGTGGAGGGGTGGCTCCTCTGTTGAGATGTGGGCTGGTTGTTTCTTCATGCACTCACAAGGTTGGCAGAGTGAGAACTCCCACAGATGAAGCCAAGGGAGCAAGGGGAAGGCCTTGGGTTTTGGCCACTGATTGTGATGAGGTTAACCATGAACTGGATGTGAGAGTAGCATGTTGGCCACAGATTATGGAATTGATGGAGGGTATGAAAGCAAAAGCAAGGTGCAGTTTGAGGTTGTATGTGTACATGATAAACTAAGTATTGGTAGGTCAAACCTGTAGTCCTTGTGAATGTGTATGTGATAAAGTAAGTGTCTGGTTTTACAGTTTTTGTTGTTGTGTCTGCATAGGTGCAAGTCACCCTGCCATCAGCCATGGCCAACAACAAGGAACAGTTGAAGCTCCTGAAGGAGGTTGCCCCATTGCATACATGCTATTTTCAAAGCCCATTATGCTATGAAACATGAACGCTGGGGGCTTAGTACTCTACTTCTCACTTGCAACAGCAGCACGTCTTCCTAATCTTGTGGCAACACTTGAAGAGCTTCCACCGCATGCGACCTTTTATGGTTTTCCGTGTGCTGGCCATTGGCTACGGGGTTCTTCAAGGGTTGCTAAGCAGTGGCGGAGGTTAATTTGGCCCCGTGTTTAACTGCATTTAATTTGGAAACATCTAGGAATGAGCTTCGTGTTGAGTGTGACATCTTCTTCGCCACTGCATCATGATGCACCATACACGCGTGTTCTTTCCCGTTCGCGGAGCAATTTTTTGCCTCCTGTTGTTCCTTCTACCTCCGCACACAACGGCCCAGTGGACCAAGGCCTCGCTCTCCCAGGCCCGCACCAACCTTGCATCGACTTCAGTGGGTGGCCTGGCCTTCTTCGCTGGAGGCGCCAATGCAACCAGCTTCTTGCCCGTGGTGGATGTCTACAATGCCTCGTCCAACAGCTGGTCCACGGCCTCGCTCTCCCAGGCCCGCTCCTCCTTGGCGGCAACCTCCGTCAGTGGCCTCGCCCTCTTCGCTGGAGGTAGTAATTTCGGATTCTCCTCCGTGGTGGACGTCTACAACGGGTCATCCAACGGCTGGACCACGAAGGCTCTCACAGAGGCCCGGCACAGCCTGGCAGCAACTTCAGTCGGTGGCCTCGCCCTCTTCGCTGGAGGCTCCAACTCTTCTGGAATCTCCTCCATGGTGGAGATCTACCACGTGTCGTCCGACAGCTGGTCCACGGCCTCGCTCTCCCAGGCCCGCTACAGGTTGGCAGCGACCCCAGTCGGTGGCCTCGCCCTCTTTGCTGGAGGGTCCAATTCCTCTGGGGTCTCCTCCGTGGTGGACATCTACGATGCGTCGTCCGGCACCTGGACCACGGCCTCTCTCTCCCAGGCCCGAGACAGCCTGGCAGCAACTTCAGTCGGTGGCCTCGCCCTCTTCGCTGGAGGCTTCAGTTCTTCTGGGGTCTCCTCCATGGTGGACATATACGACCGATCATCCAACAGCTGGACCACCGCATCGCTCTCCCAGGCCCGCCGTGAGTTGGCAGCGACCTCAATCGGCAGCCTCGCCATCTTCGCTGGAGGCTACAATTCTTCGGGGGGCTACTCCTCCGTGGTGGACATCTACGATGCGTCGTCCGGCACCTGGACCACGGCCTCTCTCTCCCAGGCCCGCTTCAACTTGGTCGCGACCTCGGTTGGTAGCCTCGCCCTCTTTGCGGGAGGAGTCGATACCCCCGCCACCGACTCCTCCGTGGTGGACATTTTCACTCCACCGTCGCCCTCGACTTCACCGTCTGTCTCGCCCTCTCCATTGGTGGTTCCGTTCACTTCAACTCCGGTTGCAGCGGAATATAACCTCACCGTTCCCTCGGTGACCCTCAGCAGCCAATCGTCATCGGGTGAGCCCCCGCCCCGCACTGATTGTTGACTCCGATGAACGAACCACTCAACAGATCCCTCGAACTGACCAGCCGCTTTGTTTTTGTTTTTTTCCCCCCCCCCAAGGAGGCGCCACGAAAACGCAGGTAGACCTCGGTTTGGTTAGCGTAGAAGAGATCTCAGCGCTGGACAACACCACTGTGCTGCAGGCCGTCAACCTCCAGACCGGCAAGTTCGCCCTCCCGGAGGGCACCTTAATCCAGACACCTAACGTCGTTTCATTTCTGGCTGCGTGTTCGTGTTGTACCAGCTGGGTGGACGATAGAATCGAAGAATGGGTCAGCAGCAGGCGGCCAGAGCAGCGAGTACATCTTCACCAGCGATCTCGGCGCTGCGACCAGCGGAGCCAACAATGCGACTCTCCGATACTATTTCAGCACCTTTGACTCCAACAAACTCATCACCACTGGTATGTTGTGACCTCAATGGCGATCATCCTCTCCATAATACCAATTATACATGTCTCTCCTACTGGCCATAGAGAGCAACTACTCATTCACGGTGACGCCGTCACTGCTCAAGTTTTCGATCAACATCACCTCTTGGACATGGAAATCACTGTACCATCCTCCTCCTTCTCCTTCATCATCATCATCAACAATATATTGTTTTTTTTCTCACAAGTTCACAACCCTTATTCGGCCTCCGCTCCAGGTCGGGCAAGCTGCGGCTGACGCTCAAGATTGATCCCTCGTTCGTACGGTTCACGCGATGGAGTGACACGCCACAGACCGGCATGACAACGCTCCTGTTCACGGCCGAACCAGCCAGCACCGTGATGCGGTTGCTCGACTTCGGAGAAGCCTCGTCAGGAGGCCTGTTGACGCGCCTGCCGGTGGAAGCTTCAGCGGCGGTCAACACATCGTCACTGTCCCTCACGTTTGGTCATTTCAACGACTCCTTCTTGTTCGACCCAGGTATGTGCCTTTTTCCACTGATCGTGCGCCGTGTCACTGGTGGCACCAACAGACTCATCCTGACGGTTGTGATGCTATTTTGATGCTGCGCGATCAGACTTCGGACTGTTGGTGGGCAGGAAGGCGGGCAGTGGAAGCGATGACAATGTGGGCCTCATCGTGGGAGTGGTTGTGGCCGTGGCAGTGGCAGTGGCGTTCGTGGGCGTGGTGATCGCGGGTGGCCTTGGTGTGGCTTGGTGGCAAGGAAGGCGAAGGACTCTCAAGGCCGTGAACTTTGGTGTGGAACAAGTGGAGGAGTCCTTGTAGCCAGAATGCCACTTCGCGCGCAGTCGATCACCACAACAACTCTAATAAACAAGGCCTTTACCCGGAAAAGACAACGCACAACCCAACACCAACTTACAAGAAGCGCGCTGTTCAAATCGCATCAAATCGGTGCTCAAGCCATCGGCGATTGTGATCCAGGTCGCTATCTTTGCAGCCACGTAGAACGATGGAGTGTTGTCGTCGCAGAATGACAGGCTGCACATGTGGCATCGTCTCCCTCAGGTCGCCCGTTCCTCAACCACGCTTCGAATGCTGTAGTGATGGCTGGGACTGCGTCAAGGTGGGCGCAGTTGTGCACAAAGTGGCTGGCTGAGGAGAAGACCAATATGGCGGACCCCATGGGTGGGTGGCTCCAAGGCCCAGTCATGGGTGAGGACAGGGGTGACCATAGCAGATGATGTTTTTCCTCACTGCACAGATTTCCTTGATTTGCTGTCAGCTCTCTCTGTCACCATGCAGCCCTCAGCCCTCAGATAGCAGTGGTGGCCACCACCACTACCCCAACCTGTGCTTTACTTGGCGCCAGAGATCCACACTTGTGGTCAAGTTAAAGTATCCCCAAGGTGGCTTCTGGCAGCTGACAGGCAGGCTACATGGCAGGCAAGACCATGTCATCGACCTTGTTCTTCGTCTGATAGGTGGTATGCACCTAAGAGCTCTTCTTCTCTGTGTTGTTCTGATATCTAACCAAGATTGCTCCCACACCACTAGACTGAGTGAGATGGAACCAGCATGCAGCAGCACCTCCCGCCACCAAACCACCTCATGCCTGCAGCTTATGTGCTGTCTTGCAATGGAAGGACAGAACACCTGGCCTGCTTGATGACCACAAAAGATCCATAAAAATGGAGCTGTTTTTCGTTTGTGTTGGGTGGAATGCAATGCAACTGGTACAGTGTGGAAAAGGAAAAGGAGGAGTGCCCACAGGGGAGGCAACCTGGCTGGCTGGTTGGGGGGGGGGGAATTGAACGCCAGGTACGTGAGAGCCAAAAGCCTTCCTCACTCGATGGGCTTGACGTAGTTGAGCGGGTAGAGGCCCTGCTTGCCGTTGAGCTCGCCCATGCCCCAGCCCGAGTACTCCTTGAGCACCGTGATCACCGCCCCTCGCTGGATCCGCAGCTTCTTCGGGTCTCCGCCGCCGTCAAAGTCGTACATCACCAGCACCCTGTTTGATTACCATGCAACCACCACCGACCAATCATCAATTAATTGAGTGTCGTTGGCCGTGCCGTTGGTCGTGTCGTGTCATGTGTGGCGTGTGTGTGCGTACCGCTTGACGTTTTCTTCGTTGAACTTTCTGAGGGTGGCCTGCGAGTCCATGTCAGGTGTGGAGGGCCGCTCGCCGCGCAGCGTTTGCATGCGCAGGTTGGGCTGCACGGTGCCGGTCCTCGGGCGCGACGGCTCGATCGGGCTGTAGTCCCGCAGCGTGCCCCGTATCGGCCGCGCTCTCCGCGATTCCGGCGAGAGGGGCGTGCCTGCTGCGGCGGCCGACCCCGGGCGGATGGTGGCCACGCCCACGTCCACGACCGCCACGTTTTCGTCCGCCGCCGCGGCAGATGACGCCACCGGGTGCGACCCGCCCTTCTCCATCTTCCACAACCTAGAGGCCCGTGTGTTAGTTTTTGTTTGTAAGGTGGCGGTGAGCGTCATCAGCTTAGTTAAGGGAGCAGCGGCGGTGGCCGCCACGTACGCGAAGATGGTCTGGCCTTTGGGCTTGCCCACCTGGTCGAGCGCCTCTTCCCTCCACGTGTGGGGTTGCGGCGATGCGCCTCCGCCGGCCTCGCTGCCGGGGTCCGCGCTGCTGCCAGGGCCGGCGCCGTAGAAGATGTCCCGAATGGTGCCGAAGCTGGCCACGGCGTCCTTGATCCCCGTGGCCGACCGCCTCGGTGAGCCGGCGCCCGCTGCACAGCGCCGCCAAATCAAGAGCCGTCCAATCAATCATCATAACCAATTGATTGAATTAAATAAATGAAATGTGGTGGTGGTGGTGGTCGTACCCCAGCCGTTGAAGTCGGCCGGGACGAGCTCGGGGCGGATGTCGGGAACCACGTCCAGCAGGATCCACGGGTTGTACGTGCTGTGGAGCGTCGGCAGCAGCAAATCCACGTTCGGCGCCTGGAAATTGGAGTGCGTGCGGTGTGTGCGGTGAGCGATGCATCGGCCGAAGAAGAAGAAGAATAAAAAGAGGAGGAGGAGAAGGAGGAAGAGTGGTGAGCGTACCTCGGACTTCTGGGCGGTGTACTGGGTGTCGTGGAGCATGCCCACGAAGTTGTTCGATTTGCCCTTCTCCTTGAGGAAGAGCTCCAGGTAGTTCACGAAATCATCGCTCGGAGGGAACGTTTGCAGGCACATGCCCATGAGCAGCCAACCCTGTGTGTGCGTGTCGTGTCGTTGGTCGTGTCATTGGTCATGTCGTTGGTCGTGTCGTGTCGTTGGTCGTGTCGTGTCAGGCTTTGGCTGTAGGTTTAGCCACTGCAGGGAATCGGTTAGGCTGACCTTTTCCATGGACATGTGGTTGTCGTTGTCTGTGAGCTGCTTGATGATCTGGCAGTAGATTTCGTCCCTGATTTCGGGCGTGCTCAACCCTGCGATACCACACCGAACAGTTAGCTATGCGAGGAATGTGGGGGGGGCGTAAGGTGCGTGGTGCGTGCGTGCCTTGGTCGAGCAGGTCCTGGGCGAGTGCATTGGGGTACGAGAGGGCCTTGTCGCCCATGAAACCCTGCACGTTCTTGAACAGCCGGACGACCTGCTTGGCGTAGGGCAGATCCAATAGCGTCAGCGACGTCGGGATCGGGTCCTTGGTCCACGACAGCATGCCCTGCACGACACGACGCACGACGCACGACACACGACACACACGTGAGTGGATTCGCGAGCGGGGCCAAGGCTTCAGTCGCGGGGGGAGGCGTACTCGGCGCAGGGTCTCGCGACCGAACATCTTGGTCTTGGCGAAGGAATCGGGATCGCGCAGCCGCTTCCACTCGTGCAGCACGAACATCTTTTTGAACTGGGCGAAGAACAGCTCTGAAGGAAAGACATGGCCGTCAGATTGCACCCTTTTCAACCGCACACGCACACGCACACACTCACATGGCACACGGCACACACCTTTGAGCTGAATCTGGAGGCGGATGGCTCGGGCGTGGTCGCCGAGCCTGTTGGCCACCTTGAGCTGCAGCTGGATGAACTTGGTCGGGTCGAGGCTCAGGGCATCCTGGAGGGGCCAAGACACAAACAGTGTCAGCAGAGAGAAAAGAGAGAGGAAAAGAAGAAGGAGAAAAGCAAAAGTAAAGGTACTCGGATCTCCTTGATGAGGTTGCTCTCGAGTTTGGTGGCGTGCGCCTTGTCGTAGACGGCGTCCAGCATTGGCCTCTCCATGAAGAACAGGGCCACGCGAGCATCCTGACGCGCCGACACACGCACGGATCAGTATGCATACCAAATCGGCGCACACAACGACACACGACACACACGACACACACCGCCACACGCAGGTACCATGTCGTTTTCGTAGATGGACTTGCCCAGGGCTTCGGCCCGCGCAACGTCCTCGGCCAGGAAGGCGAAGGGGCGGGCGAGCGCCACCGCGAGCTCGAGATCGTCCAAGACCGACTGCAGCACGCATTGATGCCTCCAGTTAGTTGTGTGTGCCGTGTGTGCCGTGTGTGCGGCGATGCGCACGGTACCGATTCGAGGGCACTCTGGAGGGCGAGCTTGGCGGTGGTGGCCTGCTTGAGGAGCTTCTCGGCTTCGACCACCTCGGGCGCGTCGCTCAGCTGCATGGCGATGGCCTGCTGGATGCCGTAGGCCATCGCCTCCAGGTCGAACGTCTGCGTCGCCTCCACCAGCTTCCCGATGATTTCCTTCGACGCCGCCTTCGTCGCCACCTGCAGACAACAATGAAACGCGCTTGCTTAGTTATGGGCTATGTGTGCGGTCGTGTGTCGTGTCGTGTGTGTGTGTGTGTGTGTGTGTTGCGCACTTCTTCGTTGGCGTGGCTGATCTCGTCGCTGTTGTAGGGCATGCTGGCGGCCTTCATCAGCACCACCTTCACGGCTTCCCAGTCCTCGCTCAGAAGCGCCTTACGCAGGTCGACCAGCAGCTGGCCTGTGTGCGGTCATACCACCATACCATGCATTATTCAGTCGACAGTAATGGTACACGTGTGTCATGCGCATATCGCGCGCGTGTCGTGTCGAGCGCGTGTGCGGTGGTGTCGTGTACCTTCGGTCAGTCGCTTCTTGCCGGCCGCCGTGCGGACGCCGAAGGCGTTGGCCTCTCTGATGGCGTCCTCCAGCCCCGCCGTGCTGATGGTCGAGTGGTCCCACTCCTTGGGATCCGAGTCTGTGTGTGCGGAGAAGAATTCCAGTCAACATTCCATGCACGAATACAAAATTACCAACACAGAGTTATGCGAGGAATGAAGCGGTCCAGAGAGTGGTGGTACTGATGACTCGGGCGGCGCCGGTGCCGATGGCGACCTCGAGCGCCTGCAGCAGGACCTCCTCCTTCTCGATGCGCGCCAGTTCGTTCTTGGCCTGGATGAACAGCGGCTCGTCCTCGCCTACATTTCGATTTTTGTAGAGCGCGTCAGTGTTACGTTTGAGGGGGGGAGCGAGAGTTGAAGAAGCGCGGCGGTTAGAGAGGACAGCAACGTACTCAGGCCCAGATCGCGGCCCTTCTTGATGGCCGTGATGAGCACCTCCTTGTTCGACTCCTTGGTGGCCTCTTCGAACATCTTCAAGCACTCCCTGTGACACAAACACGCATACGGTGAGCCAACCGCAACTCCACCTCGTGTGTCCACAATGTTGTGTGTGTCGCGTGTGCGTTGTGTGTGCGTTGAGTGTGGCGGTGCGTACTTCTTGCCCTTGACAAAGGTGACGATCTCGCGACCTCGCTTGACGATGTCGTTGTCGAGTTCGATTTCGTCGGCTTCGGCCACCAGCCCGCTCAGTTGGTCGAAGATCTTCTCCCACACGGCCATCTGCTGGCCCTCGCCCTTCTCGCCTCCGATCAACTCATTCAACTGCACCACCGCACATTAACTGTAAGTTGTCTATGCCGTGTCGTGTGTCGTGTGTGTGTCGTGTGTGTGTCGTGTGTGTCGTGTGTGTGTCGTGTGTGTCGTGTGTGTCGTGTGTGTCGTGTCGCGTTTGTTGCAGACAACAAACCTTGCGGTTGAGCTCCTTCTCCTTGACGAGGAAGTTGAGCAGCTTCTCGCAGTCGGCGATGAGCTTGATCTTGAACTCGATGTCCTTGGCCTTCTCCAGGGCCGCCTTGAGCTTGTCGATGTCGCGCGACTTCAGGGCCTCATCCAGCGGCGCCTTTACCAGCTTGATCCGCTTCAGCAGCCTCTGCGCCATGTGACCTGCACGTCCGAGCGTGTGCGATCCCTTTAGTACCGGCTAGCTCTCGTGTGTGTGTGTGTGTGTGTGTGTGTGTGTGTGTGTGTGTGTGTGTGTGTGTGTGTGTGTGCGTGCGTGTACGTCGTGTGAGTGTGTCGTGTATGTGTGTGTGTTGGTGGGCGTGTACGTCGGTGGTGCTTCTGGATGAGGACACACAGCTTCTCGACCTGGATGTTACGCAGCAACTCGAAAGACCTGCATCGCATATAATGTCAACGCTAATATTACCGCACCACATATAAAGATAAATATTGTTTGATCTGAATGTATATGGAGAAGGATATTCAGATATAATAGATATATAGATATGTTGGAGGGGGCAGTAGACGGACCTGTGAGAGTTGGCCCTGTAGAGGATGCGGGTCTTGCCGACCTGGACCTCGGAGAAGTCGCCCTTGAGCGATTTGATGATGGCCGAGCAGCGCGTCTTGAGGTCCTTCATGTTGTCCTTGGCGATGGCCTTGTTCAAGATCGCGTATCTAACGTGTCGTGTGTGCGCCAGGTGTGGCCGCGCGTGCGGTGAGTGCGGTGTGCGATGTGCGTGCGGCCGTGTGGTGTCGTGCCCTCCTCCACGCCCTCCTCCTCTCCGTGCACGGGCGGCGAGCGCGTGCGGCCGGGCCATCAGCCGACAGCGGTGCAACGAACCTCTGCAGGAACTCTAGGTGCGGGTAGCGGAAGGGGTAGCCCGTCTGGCGGATCTTGACGGCCTCAAAGACGCCGGCGTAGCGCAGCTGCTGCAGACTGAGCGTGCCCTGGAACTTGTTGGGCACCTTCTCCATGTTGGGCTTGATCGCTCTGCGCACGACACACACGACACACACAGCACGCACACACAGCGCAGTACGCACACGCACACGCACGCACACACATGAGCAATAACGAAGCAAAACGCGATAGGGGGTGTGTGGCTTGTGTGGCGCACCGGATGAAGTGGGGTTCGGTGGTGTTGAGCGCCGTCATGAGGTCCTCGAGCTGACGGCGGAACTGACTGCCCAGGGTCACCTTCGACGTTCGTCGGTCCGCATCAGCTGTGGTGACAGGCCAGCAACCGTGCAACATGTGAGCGCTCGTTACGGCGTCGCCACCACACGACACGACAGGGCACGCAGAGACGTACGAATGACGGGGAACATGACAGAGATGAATTGGTTGGTGGTGCCTTCCACGACGACCAGGAGGTCCTTCTGCAGTGTGTCCTTGTTCTTGTCGAGGAAGCCCGTCGCATCGTACGTGACGTCACCGGCATAGTGCTTGATCACAAACTCGATCTGGTGTGCGGTGGTGCGTGTGCGGTGGTGCGTGTGCGGTGGTACGCGTGCGCGTGTGTGCGTGCGCGTGCGCGTGTGAGACATGCGGCTAAGGACAGAGAGAAAGAGATAAGGGCGTGTACGTTGGAGGTTCGGACTTCGGCGTAGTTGACGTTCTGCTTCATGCCGTGGGTCTTGTTACAGGCGAGAATGAAAGTAGCGTCAGAGCCTTTGGGCACCCACAGCTGCTCGTCCAGCGTGAGCATGACACCTGTAGTACGCATATGTGCGGTGCGCGTGCGGTGGTGCGTGTGCGTGTGCGGTGTGCGTGTGCGGTGGTGTGCGTGTGCCGTATGTCGAAGATTTAGTGTCGAGAAACGATCAGTGTATGCACGAGCTTCCGCGAGTCGGTACCTTGCGGCGTCTTCTTTTCAATGAGATCGAGCACGGGCTGATTGTCAATGAACTTGATGTGCTCGTACTTAATCTCCTCGCTCTAAAAAACCGTCCATCACGTTGAGCAACCGACTACGACGACCACAACAGCGACAGCGATAACAACATGACGACGCACCTGGTAGAGGGCTTCTTCGAGCTTGAATGTGTACTGGTTGAAGTGCTGCTGCAGCTTCTCGTTGGTGAAGTTGATGCAGAGCTGCTCGAAGCTGTTCTTCTGGAAGATCTCGAACCCGAAAATATCCAGCACACCAATCACTGCAGTTCACAACCAACCAATCAATCACTCATCGCCCAACCAATCGTGCCAGCAACCGCCACACATTGAAACTCTTTAACCAGTCAACCAATGGGGTGAGGTTAGGTGAACGAACCGGTGGTCTGGGTCGAGGAGGGCTTCATCGACTGATTGATCCGGCGCACGATCCAATCGAACAGACGACCGTAGAGCGCCTTGGCGAGCGCGTCGCAGGCATCGCGGGCCTGCTCGGGCGTCAACGGAATCCGCGTGGGCGCGCATCCCCTGTGTGTCGTGTCGTGTGCCGTGTGCAATGGTGTGTCGTGTGTCGTGTCGTGTGTCGTGGCTTAGGGATTCCAAGCGATCAGAGAGGCGGGAGATGGTAGCCGTACCTGATTTCCATGAGACGGGAGGTCAGCGCAGCCTCGAGCGCGGCGCTGTTGACGCCCAGGAGGTCGGCCACGATCTGGGCCTGGCCCTTGTCGGTCACCACCGACTTGGAGGCGTCCGGCCCGGAACCAGTCATCTCGGGTCCGAACTGTAAGAAAACGAAGACCGATCAAGTTAGACAGTCCACTCGCAGTTTAAGAAAAAGAAAAAGAAACATACCATCAGATTACCGAGTTGCAGCACGGCCGCGGTCAGCTGGAACACGTCGTTGATCTCTTCCGGCTTGAAGCTCAGCCGTACCATGGCTGCCGTAGGGAACGTGTGTCATCACAACATCGCACAACACGACCGACACGACACGACCAACGCAACACGCACGAGCAGGGCGCGTACCTTCTTTGACCTCCTCAAAGTCCTTGGCGTCGTCCACGCCGTCGATGGTGATACACCCGCTCGTGTTGATGTAGTTGTAGTGCTCGGCGCTCTTCAGGTTCCACTTGGCGAGCGTCTCCTGGTCCAATCCGGCCACGAGCTGGTAGAAGATGTGGAAATTACGCTCGCCCTTGATTTGGTACACCACCCTGCGTGACGAAGCCAAAGTCTCATTGGTCAGTTCTGCGCGTGTCGTGTGTCGTGTGCTGTGCCGTGTGTCGTGTCGTGCGTACCTCGACTTTTCGAGAAGGTAGTTGACCGTGCTCGCTCCGCAGATGCGGGCGCTCATGTCGAAATGGATCTCCACCCACTTACCGAATCGCGAGGAGTTGTTGTTACGCAGCGTCTTGGCGTTACCTGCAGCCCCATACGATTAACCGTGAGTGCCGTTGGTCGTTGGTCGTATCGTGTGTGGTGGCGTGGCGTGGGGTGTACCGAAAGCTTCGAGAATTGGGTTGGCAAGCAGGATGAACTGCTCCACGCCGTTGGTCGATCCGGCAAGTTCGGCAAAGTACATCAGGCACTGCTTGGTGCACTCGGTCTTGCCGGCACCGGACTCGCCCGAAATGAGCACCGACTGATTCTTCTTCTTCTCGATCATGGCTCTGGAGGCAAGCCTTTAGCTGTGTGGTGCGTGTGCGTGTGCGGTGGTGCGTGTGCGTGTGCGTTGCTTCCAAGCGGTGAGGAGTACTTGTAGGCATTGTCAGCGATGTTGAACGTGTGCGGGGGCATCTCCTTGACACCCTTGTGCATGTACTGATCCATCACCGTGGGTGTGTAGAGCGGCAGCTTCTTGAACGGATTGACGCTTATCAAAATGGTGCCGATGTTGGTCTGCACGTGCACCATCAAAGGAACATTGCATCGTCAGCCGAGGCCACGTGGTGGTGGTGGCGCCAAAAGCAAGGTAAGATGAGGAGGGTTGGTCATGAGTCATACATAGATCTGGTCGTTCTTGAAGCGCTTCCTCAGGTTGTGCACGATCATGGCCTCGTTGATGTGTTCCATTTGCACGAGATCGTCCACGTTCTTTTCGAGCGTGGACGACACCACCTTCTCGAGCATCGACGGGCGCATCTTCAGCCAGATCGTCTATTGGTCGACCAACACGATCACGAGCCGTCAGGAGCGTGCGTCAACCATTATTTGCAAGTTTAAACTAATTAGTTAAAAAATTGTTCATATTTAAAAACAACAGATGATGATGTATTGTGGTTTTGTAAGTAGGTTGGTGTGGGGGCGCGTGCCTCTCCCTCGTTGGTTGTCACCTCGCACGAGCCGTCGCCGCAGTCTCGGGACACCTTGCCGGGGAGGTAGCCCTCCTCGGGGTGGGGAATCCAGATCATGCCATCCTGCGCCCCCCCCCCAATGAGGCGTGAGAACACGAAATCTACCATCATAGTATAGTGACATCCTTATGTAGGCCACATAGCAATGTAGATATCAGGGGGGCCAGGGCTATAAGCGTACATTGCCGCTGGTGCTCTTGATGCCGGCAGGGGGGTCCCAGCTGCTCTCTTCGGTCTTTCGGTTGAACCAGTACACATGGCCCTCCGGCGTGACGCACTCACACCACTCATCCATGTTGTTGTTTTTGTTTTTTCAGAGCTTCTTCTAGAGAAGAACAAAGAAGAGGAGCAAGTGGTGTGTGTCGCTGACGAAGGATCCCCCTTACGAGATTGATTGTCTAGATCAGAAGAGGGGGGGGGGTTGGTGAAACTCCCTCGTGGCCCGACTTTGGCCCGTGGGTCGAGTTTGTCACAGTGAAAGGGCTATTGCGCGAAAGGACACCTCCGTTCTTTTTTGAGTTAACAAAAACAAAAACAAACAAAAGAAAAGGACAAAAGCAAGTGATATGCACAGGGTGGAGGAGCAGGTGGAGGAGAGAACCAGGCTCGGACAACTTCGCTGTAAACGATGGTAAATGTGTCTTTCATGAAAGATTATTAATCCAAATTGTAAAATTAATTTGCCCGAAACAAGTAATTGGGTGAACCTCGAAACTCGAGACAAGCGCTTCCCTATGTGCGAGTCGATCCAGCGAAGCTTCTCATTCATATCGTGATTTCTTTTGTTCCATGCTTACGGTGAAATGGCCGGTTATTTCCCGTAGCCCCCCTGAAAAAGTAGAGAAAAAGGAATCCGCCAAAGCGCTACGGTGAAGAAAAGAAATCAATCGAACTGAGCAATCATTTTGCCGAGATGGGACGCTCAAAGGACGATGATCGTAAGAGAAAGAGAGAGGATCGCGACAGAGACAGAGAGAAGAGGAAGAAAGAAAAGGCGCTGAAGAAGCTGCTCGAGACGCCCGATGAGAAGCGAAGAAGGCGGCTTGAGAAGAAAGAGAAGAAGGCCAAGAAGAGGCGACAAAAGGAGCAGGAATCGCTGGCTGGCTACACGAACGAGGCCAATCCCTTCGGTGATGCTAATTTGACGGATCGATTTGTGTGGAAGCTCAAGAGGGAGAAAGAGATCGCGTCTGGCAAGGTCCATCCCGACGATTTTGACGATGCTAAGACCGAACGCATGCTGCGCGACGAGCGGCTGAGAGAACTCGAGAAGGCCAAGAAGCGCAGGGTGGAGAGGGAGAAGGAACGAGAACAATGGGAGGCCGAGAGGGACAGAATGGCGCGAGAGCGCGATGGACTGAGCTACGATGATTGGGAGAAGCAGGAGCAGACCTTCAACCTCGAGCAGGCCAAGCGACGATCCGAGATCCGCATCCAGGAGGGGCGACCCAAGCCCATCGATATTCTCTACAAGAATCTCAACATGGACGTACTCGACCTCGATATTGAGCTCAACGAGCCCTACAAGATCTTCTCCGACCTGTCGCTGCGAGAGCTGGAGGAGCTGCGCAAGGACATCCTCATGTACCTCCAGCTCGATTCGCACAAGGAATTCTGGCAATCGCTGCGCATCGTGTGCGACGACGAAATCGAGCAGCTACGCCAGCGCGAAGAGGCCGAGCACCAGGCCAGGCGGCAGGGCCTCGAGGCCAGCGGCGTGCACAAGGCCGTGAGCGAGGACGTGCTGGCCGTGTTTCGAGGTAAGACCTACGAGGATCTCAGTCGCATGCAGTCGCAGATCATGGCCAAGATCACCGCCGGCAACGCTGTCGATCCCGAGTACTGGGAGGGTCTGCTCGCTCGGCTCGTCGTCTACAAGGCCAAGGCCAAGCTGCGCGACATCCACGCCGAACTCCTGCGCCGCAAGCTGAGCCAGCTCGAGGCCGGCCAGATGCTCGAGGAGGTGCGTCGCACCGTGGAGGACCAGCAGGGCCAAGACGACGAAGCGTCGACTACAGCTGCCGGCACGGGCCTCAGCAGCGGCGGCTGGGACGAACCCGAGGCCTCAGCCGCCGGCGGCGGCGGCGAAGACGACGACGAATGCCTCAGTCCCGAGCTGGTGAACGAGACCGACGACGTCGAGGTGGTCGATCCCGAGCTCGACAAGCAGCGGCTCGAGGAGGAGCGACAGCGCATCATGGAGCGCGAGGCCAAGAAGCTCCAGGAGAGCTCGCTCGCCCTCACGTCGCCCGCGGTCAAGCTGTCCGACGCCGAGCTCTACCAAATCGAGTCCGAGCGATCGATGGACGAGAACGAGGAGACCTTCAGCACCGAGGTGGCGCTCGAGGGCAAGAAGTACTGGTGGCAGGACAAGTACCGCCCGCGCAAGCCCCGGTACTACAACCGCGTCCACACGGGCTACGAGTGGAACAAGTACAACCAGAGCCACTACGACCACGACAACCCACCGCCCAAGACTGTCCAGGGCTACAAGTTCAACGTCTTCTACCCCGATCTCATCGACAAGCAGAAGGCCCCGCGCTACTTCATCGAACCCAGCGACTCGCCGGACACCTGTATCATACGCTTCCACGCCGGCCCGCCGTACGAAGACGTCGCGTTCAAGTACGTAGTTTTATTTATGTGTGTGTGTGTGTGTGTGTGTGTTCATGTGTGTGGTGTTCTATCGACTAACCGGTGCCTTACAACAATCTGCCAACAGGGTCGTGAACAGAGAGTGGGAGTACTCGCACAAGAGGGGCTTCAAGTGCGTGTTCGACCGAGGCATCATGCACCTGTGGTTCAACTTCAAGCGCTACAGATACAGGCGCTGATCCGTGCTCCTCCCCACCACCTTCGATACGTTACTTCTTCCAACATGTCGTGGGTCTATAAATTTAAGTTTGGCCAAATGCACACAAGCACGCCTTGTTACCCCAGCAACTCTTCTTTCCTTAAAAAGACAATGGAAATCCATACAAAGGCTTGGAAAAAACTGGAAATGTGTGTAAGTTGTACAGCCCACAACCATGACGCTGTTCATCTTCAAGTACGCAGTGGTCAACCCCCCCTCTCTTTCTTTCACCTTGTTGTGCAGTTCTACAACTTCATGTGTGGCTTACATTGTTGTTGTTGTTGGTGGTGGAACGTGTCAAGACTTATCTTATTGCTCGCCCTGGCGGCGACCTGGGCCTCGGCCTCCCTGGTCATCAACGAGCTCGACGTCGCGTCGGGCGGCTACCCGGCCAACGAATTCATCGAGCTCAAGAACGCGGGCAACTCCACGATCAACACCGCCGGCTGGCAGCTGGCCCTCTACGCCTTCGACGCCGGCACCGGCGCCGTCGAGCTGGTCGACACCCAGACGCTGGTCGACTTTGACCTCGGCCCGGGCGACTACTATGTGCTGTGCATCTACCCCGAGCGCGTGCTGCTGTGCACGCAGGAGGTCAAGACCCGCAGCGACGGCACTGCGGTCCTGCTCAACTGGGTACCCAGCCAGAATGCCACCGTGGTCCTGCTGGACCCGGCCGAAAACCGGGCCGACATGGTGGGCTACGGGTCGCCAGCTACGGGGCTCGGCCTGGGCTCGGCCTGGTACGAGGGCTGCGGTGCGGCGCCGGCAGATAGCGCCACGTGGGTCGGGTCGGCCATCGCGCGCTGGCCCGAAGGCGACGACACCGACGACAACGCGGCCGACTTCGAGCACCGCTGCCGCACGCCGGGCCTGACCAACGCCTACGCGGCAGTCGCGTCCGAGTCGTGCGCCAGCCCGGGCGACACCAACCTGGTCATCAACGAGGTCGACTACACCCAGGATGGCGGCAACGACACCCGCGAGTTCATCGAATTCCACAACCGCGGCTTCGTCGGCATCGCCTCGACCGTGGCCGGCGGCTACCGCCTGCGCATACTCGATTCGGCCAACGCCACAGTGCGCAACGTGAGCCTGTCGGGCCGCGACTTCCCCTTCGTCGTGCCGGTCCATGGCTACTACACCCTGTGCACGGCCCTGTCGGGCGTGTGCGAGGGCCACGGCGCGCGGCTGGTCGACACACCCGCCACGACGACCAACGGCTACATCGACGCGACCACCAACTGGATCCCGAACCCGGGCGACGGCGGCCACGCGTTCTACACGATCCAGCTGCTGCGCCAGACCGGCAGCCTGATCACGGTGCAGGACACGGTCACCTACGGCGGCGGCTCGCTGAGCGGATACACGCCGGGCACGGGCGTGGCCGATCTCGACGCCTCGGGCACCAACCGCCTGGGCATCTCGCGCTGGCCCGATGGCTACGACACCAAGGACAACTCCATCGACTGGAGCGCCAGGTAACGTTCGTTTCATGGCAACATCCTGAATATAACTGTACTATTGAACTGTAACAAATGCTTAAATATTTGCTATATATTATCTCTCTCTATAACTCCAGGTGCATCACTCCGGGTCGGGAGAACACCAACTCGGCGGCGAGCTGCGTCGAGCCGTCGCCCACCACCACGCCATCGCCGACGCGCTCGCGGTCGCCCACGCCATCACGCTCGCCCTCGCGCTCGCCCACAGGGTCGACAACGCCGTCGCGTTCGCGCACGCCATCGCCGTCGCCGTCGCGTTCGGGCTCACCCAGCCCGACCCGCACCCCGAGCGCGTCGCGTACGCCGCTGTGGTCGGCCAGCCCCTCGCGCACGCCCCCCGCCAGCCCCACCAAGACGCCCACGGCTTCGCCCAGCAGCAGCAGGACAAGAACGCCCAGCCCCACCCGCACGCCCAGCACCAGCCCCACGCGGTCACCCACACGCACGCCCACCCGCTCCCCCACGCGGACCCCCACGCGCAGCCCGACCCGCTCGCCCACCGCCACGCGCAGCCCGACCCGCTCGCCCAGCCGCACGCCTTCGGCCAGCCCCAGCGGGCAAGTTCTCCCAGGATAAAACCGGGAAACATCGAAGAGATTACCTTTCATTTTGTTTGAGCGCACCACATCGTCACGTGGGGGTCTCTCGCTAGGCGGCCGCCTTCTTCATGAAGATGACGGGGTCCTTCTCGGCGGTGACGCGGTTGACCAGCCAGACGAGCTTGGGCCGCCCGCCGGGGATGTCGATGTCGTAGGTGCGCATGAGGAGCGAGAGGATGGTCTTGATCTCGTGGAGGGCGAAGAAGCGGCCCGGGCACGCGTGCTGGCCCGAGCCGAAGGGGAGGAACGCGTAGAGCGGCTGCGTCTCGGAGATGAAGCGCTCCGGCTTGAACGACTCGGTGTCCTCGCCCCACAGGGTCTTGTCGTGGTGCGCCACGTAGGCCGAGAGAGCCACCATCGTGCCCTGTCGAGACACAATGTGAGCGTGTGCCATGTGTGCTCTGTGTGCGGTTCTGCATAAGAGGCCGCACCTTCTGGATGGAGTACTGGCCGGCTTGCATGTCCTTCATTCGCCAGCCTGTTCGGTCCGACTATGGGTTCGCCGAACAACATGAGCGTCAGCGAAGCAACAACACATTGTACGCGTGTCGTGTCGTGTCGTGCCGTGTCGTGTGCGTGTCGTGTGCGTGTCGTACGCAGGAAGGAGGTGGTCCGGAGGGACTCGCGTATGCAGGCGTCGAGGTAATCCATCTGCTTGACGTGATCGTGATCCACGGTCTTGCTGTCGCCCAACACCCTGTTCTGCTCCTCCAGCACCTTCTCCCTGTTTTTGGTCGCGACATGCCGTGACGTTGAGCCAAAAACACAGATGACGACGATGGCGATGACGAATAATGAATGACGACACAAGGCGCACCTGATCTCGGGGCGAGAGAAGATGTCCAGCAGGGTCTGGGTCAGCGCACCAGCAGTGGTGGTGAGCGAGGCCCAGATCATAACGCCCAATCGGGTCACGATCCACTCGTCCTATTAAGCACACACACGCACCCGCGCACACGATTTGAAAACATGGCCTCAAGAAGGGTGGGCGCGCGGTAAGTGAGGTGAGTGCGGCGGGCGTACGGTCAAGGGCGAGCCATCGACATCGGGGGCCTCGAGGAGGTAGCTCAAGAAGTCGACCTTCTGTTGGCCGCGTTCGAAACGAAAAATAGAGAGAATGAAAGTGAAAGTGAAAAAAGCCAAGTCAGTCGATGGCCCCGACTAGTCGGGCAGAGGGGGAGTAGAGGCGCCACAGCTCGCTCACCTGGCTGGTGTCCTTGGCCGCCCTGCGCTTCTTGACCACCGGCAGCAGATGCTTCATCATCACCGCATAGTGCTCCTTTACACGTCCGCCCAAGAACCTGGACACGACACGACCAACGACACGACACGACAAACGACACGACACGCACATAGTGAGCATTCGGTCGAGAAGCGGCCTGGGTCGATTGTTGAGCAACCTGTGGAGGAACCGGGGCAGGAGAGTCGAGAGGCCGATCATCTCGGTGGCGTCCTTGTCAAAGTTGATGAAGGTGTCGATGAGCTCCTGGTTGTCGTAGCCCTCGTCGCCGCAGATGCAACGCGCCGACGACCGGCCCACGATCTGGTACATCATCCGCTCGATCTCGACCACCATCGTTCCCTCAAAGAGACGAGCAATGTCGCTGACGTCAGCAAGAAAGAAGTCTTGGTTAAGGTGGCTGTGTGTTTTTCTGTTTTTTAAAGGTACCTTGCGGGCGCCGCGGTAGTAGGGTCCGCCGAGGTTGCGGAGGAGTCCGTCGACGTAGGCCGGCTCGATCACCTCGGCGATGAGCGGGGTCCAGTTGCGCATGTTGGGCGTAAACTTCTGCTTGATGAGGGTGATGTGGATCGGGTACTCGAACGTCTTGTTGTCCAGGAACAGGTGGAAGTTCACCGCCTGCCGCACACGCACACGCAACACGCAACACAACACGCGCACACACGTCAGACCACGTTGGCGATGGTGGCCATGGGGTAAGCTGCACGCGGCGTGCCTTGAGGGCGTCGTTGAAGGAGAGGGTGTCGTCGCCGGACTTGAAGAAGAGCTTGGGGTACTCGGGTCCCAGAAGCACCACCTGGCGCAGACCGCCCAGCTTGACGCTGAACACGTTGCCATACTGCACACAACAAAACCAATTTCAATAAATGAGCAATTAATAAATAAACAATATCTGGGAAAAGAACATGATATATAAATAATATCTGGTGGAAAAAAAGAATACGAGAGATAAATAATAACAATAAATAAAGAAAAAGAAGAAAGTAGCGAATTCACCTTTTTGATGGAGTCGAGTAGGAAGCCCTTGGGGTCCGCTCGAAAGGCAACGCCTGCGCCGAGCACCGGCACGTTGGGTCCAGCCTGGGGAGGCTGTCCCTCCTGGAAAAACACAGAGTCATCAATCACCAGTCAGATCCCAATCTGCGAGCACCGTTATATCAATTCTTTTCAAAAGAAAAGAATGCAGCGTGCCTTAGGTGTGCTGGAGCGTTGGAAGAACAAGTAGAGCAATAGAAGGCCTGCTACGGCCGTGAGCGCCACCAGCATCAACGACATGGCTTCCTGCGCTCAGTTGTTTGTGCAAAGTGTAAAGCAAAAGCCAAACAAGGGAAAGGCGCCCACGACCGCATTGGCGCAAAATACGGAGGTGCCAGAGTCAGCCGAAAACATTTTGAAATTGTTTTGTGTGGTCGTGAAGCATTTCGGAAACAACCAGCAACAAGAAGATGGAACTGGAGGACAAAAGCGCTGCCTCTTCCGGCGGCATCGTTGAGTTGACGCAGACTTCGCTCATCAGTCGGTACCAGTTTCATTCGACCTGACCGAAATAATGATCCAATTCTTAAAAATCAAGAAAGTTATTTATTTACAATAATGGGCTCTGCTTGCAGACTGCTCTATCCGAACCCGGTGTGCATGCTGACGGTGTGGGCGGGCAACGGCGAACAAGCCCCGGCCACCAGTGCCCCGCTGCCGGACAAGGCCGCCGCTGTGAGGCCGCGGCGTAACGTCATGACCATCTCCTGGCTCACCTGCATCAACAATCAGGTCGTCCACACGCACACGCACACGCACACGCACACGCACACGCACACGCACACGCACACGCACACGCACACGCACACACTTTAGCGCTAACTGAGGCGGACTCTTGGGTTGACAGGGTCTGGTCTTCTGTGCGGTGAATAAGCGAAGGCACACGGCATCGCTGCTGCGCGTGGGCCGATCCTTCGGTCCGTCGCGACCGCCATCTTTCGTGTTCACGCAGTGTGTGCGTGCGTGCGGTATGTTCTGCAAGGCACGACGTCACTCACAACCGGCGTGTGCGTGTGCGTGTGCGGTGGTGCGTTCAGTGCTGAACGTGCCGGTGCAAGGGATGGAAGAGCTGGTCCTCGCCGTGGGCGGTTGCACGTACGCGCCATCTCATCGCCCTTCATTGCTGAACTGTCGCCAACAACAACAACCCTCGTCCCCCCCCCAAACGCATGTGTGTTGTGTGTTATTGGTTACTAGGGGCAAGGACGAGGACAAGTTCGACAAGCTCAACCTCGACCTGTGCCAGCCCGGCTGGACCGATCTCGTAACCACTCCGCTCTCTCTCTCGCTCTCTCTCGCTCTCTTCTCACCGCACTCGCTCACCCTGTGTGCGGCGTGTGCGTGTGCGGCGTGTGCGGTGCAGGACACGATGATCGAGGACGGCGGTGACCGACTGCTGGCGATCCGGCCGTGTGTGGCGCACGTGGTGTGCCGGGTGGAGGCCGTCCAGGATAAGGCGGGCCACCTGCTGCTCCACTGCCGGCTACAGCGGGCCTGGGTGCGGCCGGACTACTGGAACGGCAAGAATTTCATCCCCCAGCGCCCCGGCGTACCGCCATACTTCACATTCCTCGGCGCCCAGACCTTTGGCTATGTGTGGCCCCACCCACCACCTTCCTCTTCATCATCATCTTCCTCTTCATCAACTTCATCATCATCTTCATCATCTTCATCGTCATGAGCTTCATGTTTCTCGAATAATGGAATAGATGCCACATGTGCGATGATGGTGATGACGTTGAGTCTCTACTGGGCAGCGATGGCGACGGCGACGGCGTCCACGGCCACGGCCACGGCGTCCACGGGCTGGGCGGCGAGGGAGCGGAGGGACCGCTCGGGGATTTTGGTCCTGGGGACGGACTCCCCGGTGGCGAGGTTCAGCTCCAGCCAGCCCTGCTCGCGCGAGAGCACAATGGTCCTCACGAGGGAGCCCTCCTGCTTGGGCATCGAGAGCTCCCACGCGAGAGCGTCTGGTGCACACAAGTCACGCGACACGACACGACACGACACGACACGACACGACACGACACGACACGACACGACACGACACGACACGACACGACACGACACGACACGACACGACACGACACGACACGACACGACACGACACGACACGACACGACACGACACGACACGACACGACACGACACGACACGACACGACACGACACGACACGACACGACATACGACACGAGTGACGTCGTAAGGCCAACGGTCTATGGTCTGACAAAGCTATGTTTGTGGTGGTGCTGGGGACGCACCGGGGATGGTGGCGCACTCGCCGATGAACTTGAACAGGAAGGGAGCGAAGTAGGCCGAGCTCACGCGGTCGGCCAGCATGTTGCCGAACCGGCTACAGGCCCGAACCAAGCCCACTCAGTCAACAAAACAAGCAAAAAAAAAGCATAATCATCATTCATCATAGAACAGAATAGAATAATGTTTGGGGGGTTGGCGTACGCGTTGATCTTGCCGTCGGCCTTCCAGGCGACGGCCATGGCAGTCTTGTAGTGCTCAGAGGCCATCTCCTCTTCGGTAAAGTAGGGCACCTCACCCTTGGTGAGGTCCAGGAAGATGCGGGGCAGGAGGGGCTTCTCCGTCTCCTTCCTATCCCTCGCTACATCACCATAACCACACCCAACACCATCAATCATGTCTCCCCCCAAGGTGGTAAACTGAATTTGTCTCCCAAGGAGATGGATGAGGTACGTAAGGCGGAGGCCAAGGCGACCAGAGACAGCAGGAGGATGAAGGCCCAAAGCTTCATGATGTGTGGTTCGATGTTTGTTGTTGCGACGCAATCAATCCAAGTCTTGTCTGCGCTTACATAGTTTCCTTTAATGGTAATATTGTTATTTTTGTTTCTCTTTATTTCTGTCGTCATTTTTTGTTTAGTTTTATTTCTAATTTATACCCTAAGGAAGCATCAAGAAGAGGCGGGCAAAGGTTCAGCGGGATTCCTGAGTTTGAGGTAGAACACCTCGCACTCGCCTATCTCCTCCTTGATCCTCGCGCTGGAGTCGAGGATGGCTCCAATGGCGTCATACACCGAAAACTCTTCTTTCCTGTTTTCAATGCTCCGGTCAGCCCAGCGCACCACACGCACCACACGCACCACACGCACCACACGCACCACTGCACACGCACACGCACACGCACACGCACACGCACACCACACGCACACCAAGACTTACCGGGATCGAATGTTCCATTCGCGTAGCGCCACCTTCTTGGCATCGTCGAAGGTGACCGAGGTGGTGACCCGCACCAGGGCGGCGCGCTCCCCGTACCGCACCTGGACCCAGAGCGTTCCCGTCGCGCCGCACCTGCACCCGTACCCGGTACCACCACCCAGCGCCGCCGCAGCCGTAGCGGTTCGTGGTAGTCGTAGACGGCCCCGACCGGCAGGCGCCAAAGCAGGGTACCGGGACCCAGCCGGCGCCGGACGGCGACGACGTCGAGCCCGGAACGGGCCAGCGTAGCTGCTGTTGTGTCGGGAGATGATGTGGCGGCGGTTGGTAGTGCTGTTGGTGTTGGTGCGGCTGAGGCGGAGGCTGCCGCGTTTGGTTGTGCTGATGTTGGTGGTGCTGTGTTGGATGATCTTGAGGGTAGTGGTGCAGTGGCGAGGTGCCGACATAGAAGGAGGGTGATGGGGCTGTGGTGGACGCCACGGTCGGAATGACCGCCGCGGTGGTGGTTGGTGGCATCGAAGGCTTGTCCGGCTGTGCTGGCCCGTCGCTCACCACCGTAAAGTCCAACCCCGAGTATCTGCCGCTGATGGTATTCCTTAACACAGACCACCCTACATCCAACACACAACACGCAACACGCAACACGCAACACGCAACACGCAACACGCAACACGTAACACGCAACACGCAACACACAACGATGGAGCGAGGTCGCGTACACGACTGCACAGGGCGGAGGTGCGACGAGGGGCACGCCGGGGAGTAGTTGGGGTTCCGTGTCGCCCGCCTCTGTCTCGAAGACCTCCTCCAATACACGGTATTGGTGCACCGCCAGCTTGCGCGGGTACGGCTGCCTGCTGCCGCTGTCTTCACCTCGATGGTGGCCGTGGCCCGCTTCCGCCACCACCTTCTTCCGCTTCAGCGACTTTCGCCCCAAGCCACCGCTGCCGGAGGCCAGCGTTGATGCCGATGATGCAACAGTCGCTGTCGTCGTCGTCGTTGTCTCAATCATGGCGGGACTGCTGAGCGGTGTTGACGTCACTCTCGGGCTCTGCACGCTCGCCTTGTTAGCTGCCTTGTTTGCGGCCTTGGTTGAGGTGGTGGGCGACGGCGTAGTGGTGGCCGGTGATGACGATGTTGACGATGACATGGCCACGGCCTTGGCGGCCGGCTGGGAGTCGAGGTAGGCCTGGATCAGCTCCTTGGGCACCAGCCGCTCGGCCATCCAGCGGTTGGACCGGTTGTCGCGGCCCACCAGCTTGACCCGGAACTCGCGCCCTCCACGGGCCTTCTGCCGCATGCCCAGCACCGCCTCGGGGGTTATGTCCCGCTGCAGCGACCGGCTCTTCGACCGGGTGCCGGGGCCACCCGAGGCAGTCTGCCCGCTCGTTGGACTTGGGGTGCCCAAAGGGGAGTTCATCCTTGAATCTTCTTGATTTTACATGATATATTGTTTAACACCTCATTTGATAAATAAATGGATGGTTAGGGCAAAGGGGCGTACCTTTTGGATACACGTGTAATAGGGGGTCGCAGTTTCTGGCTGACCTCCTTGGCGTGCTGTACTACTTGGTTCAGGGGGATGGGGGAGCATAAGAATTTGTGGCACGCGAGCGGAAGGGCGTGTTCCTTTTCTTTTTTCCACATCTCCACGTCCAGCCCTCGTCCAGATGCAGGAGAACGCCGCCTCCTCGAGAATGTTGCAGCCCAGTGGCTGGTGTTGGTGGCACCGAAGTCACAAGGTGCGTCCCAAAGCACACACACTCACCCGCACACTACACGCACGCACACGACACTCGCAGTTGAACCTGGCCATGAACGCGGTAGACAAGCGAATAATAAATAATGTGTTCAACAAAAAGTGGCGGAGTGGCGGTGGTGGGCGGGCTACTGAGCGGCAGCCTTGGGACCCGGCATGTAGACCTGGTGGTGGTGGTTGCGTTACGTGGTCAACACACCGCACACGCGGAGAAGGTGGCGCGAGGGAGGGTACCTGTAGTTCCTTCTTCAAGTTTTCGTAGCCGGCTTCGAGCTGCACCTGGAACTCCTCCTGGTCGGGCTGGATGAGGGTCTTGTTGAGCACCAGCGCGAACTGGCACAGCTTCACGAAGCTGATGATCACCTCTTGTAACCTTTGATGACGACGACGATGATTATGATGGATCAGCTCACACGCACACGCACACGCACGACCGCACACGCATTCAAATTGTGAGAGAGATTGGACTTACCTGGCGATGTGCTGGGTGGGGTAGTTCGCGTAATTGCCCAGGAAGATCTTAGCGATCGCCAGCGGACCGGCGTTCACCGTGACCAGCACGCTTCCCTGTTTTCAACAACAACACACAACCCACACCACACAACACACAATACAACACACAACACACAACACACAACACACAACACACAACACACAACACACAACACACAACACACAACACACAACAACAGAGCATGACATGACGAGAGTTAGGGTAGATGCGGAGAAAGCGGCGATGTGGGGTGAGCGTGCCTGAAGGACTTGCTGCAGCGTCTTGGTGTTGGGGGGCGTGGTGTCCAACTCCGAACGCAGCGCGACGATGCGGCCTTCCACGAGCTCAATCGCCGTCTCGATCGGCTCCAAAATGATCTGCGCCACGAATTGAGAATTTACACCATGAGCACGCGCGTGTCGTGTGTCGGTGTCGAGTGTCGTGTGTCGTGTGTCGTGTGTCGTGTGTCGTGTGTCGTGTGTCGTGTGTCGTGTGTCGTGTGTCGTGTGTCGTGTGTCGTGTGTCGTGTGTCGTGTGTCGTGTGTCGTGTGTCGTGTGTCGTGTGTCGTGTGTCGTGTGTCGTGTGTCGTGTGAATTGAATCAGGCATGATGCGTACCTCCTTCTTTTCGATGACGGGCAGTCGACTCTTGACGAAGGGGAAGGCCTTGGCCGTGCGCAGAATGGTCTTCCGCTTGCACTGGTCGGCCAGATCGCCGTGGGCCTTGCCGCTCTTCGTGAACGGGCTCTCGAAGATGAACTGGTCTGTAAATAGTTCGCGCGCTACGTCAGCACCGAATGCAAAACAAGACAATATCAAAAATAATAATACAATAAAAAGAAATTAATTTTTAAATAATAAAGGAAATACCCAGATTGAATTTTCGGTCCCACAGGTTGGGTCGGCTGGTGAGGTCCACGGCGTCGAAGTACTCGGTGAGCGACACCACCTGGAAGTAGCAGACGTCCTCCTTGAGCTTGGCCAGGTCAACGCTGATGTTGCCCAGTATCTCCACCTTGTCCCCAAACTTGGAGGAAAACTGGCTCTGTTTCACGACACGCACGACACGCACGACACACGGAATCGGTTGAGTGTGTGTGCGCTGAGGCTGGCGAGATGATGAGGGAAGGTGGGAGAAGAAGCGACCTTGAGGCGGGTGGTGAAGTCGTTGAGGCGGACGGTGTCGTTGGCGCGGTAGACGAACTCCTTGCCCTGGAGGTCGCGCCACTGCTTGCCGAAGAAGGCCACCCGGTAGTAGTTGCTGAACAAACGCGCCTTCTCCGCGTTCTGTTGTCACATATGAAGAGCTCAGCGCAACACACACAACACACACGACACACGCGACACACGGGATGGCCGGAAATATGTACCGACTTGACGAGGGCCTCGCAGACGACCTTGAGGTCGCGGAAGCACTCGCCCAGCTGGCCGTAGTCGCGCTCCTTCTGGTGGATGTCGACCACGAACTTGTAGACGTCGATCACCAGCTCGTACAGATTGGCCTGGGGTAGGCCCAACGACAGATCAATTGTCGCGTCGTGTCGAGACATGAACCGGCGGCGCATATAGAACAAAAAAGGCCAAACAAATGCGGCCCATTGAATTCGGAGGCGCGTACGTTCTTGGCGATGGTGATGGCCTCGGTCAAAACGCGGACGAGACCCGCCTCCGAGAACACCTTGGGGTTGTACATGCCCTCCTCGCCCTACAAACCCCAACCGCCCGCACGGCACACGCACAACCGCACACGCACGCGCGCGTTAGCAGCGTCAACAGAAAAGTAAACTAAACAGAGGGCTGAGAGCTGAGGGAGGGTACGCCGGTGTCGATGGAGATGTTGGGCAGGCCAGTCTCGTGCGGAATGTTGGGCGACACGGGGGCAAACGCGGCATTGGTGGCGGGGATGCCCTCCGTCTTGCCGTTTTGCTTCGTCAGGAACTCGCAGATCAACGCCGCCGCGTGCATCTTGCACTGCACCGCCTCGTCGAAGTTCCGTTGCTGGCAACCCACCACCACCAAATCAGCGCTGTATGCGGTGTGTGCGGTGCGTGGCTGTTGCATTCACGCGTGTGTGTGTGTGTGTGTTACCTCGAGGTGGAAGTTGCCGAGGTTGTCGAGCCACGTCACGCGCAGGTCGGGCGAGTCGGTGTAGCCGAGGGAGACCTGGTAGTAGAGGTCGGTCGTCATTTCCCGATCGTAGGCGTACTCGGCCATGTCCAGCGAGTGCTTGATGACCTGCCCAGGGCCACCACCATTAACGATTGTTCACGTGCGTGTCGTGCGTGTCATGCGTGTCGTGTCGTGTCGAACCTCGAGCAGCCTCTTGCACAAGTTCTCGGTTTCGCCCTGCAGGTGAGTGTTGCGGGCGTCGCGCTTGGTGTAGGTTGTGACGGCGGCCAGCGACGCGGTCAGGAACGAGTACTCCTTCACAGTACCGGTGAGCCGCGACACCGCGATCGTCGACTGCAGCCGGGTGCGCGCAATCGACTTTGTCTCCGCGTAGTTGGTCTGCGCGTTGCACACGACACACGACCCACGATCAGAATTCCCGCCAAAAGAACATGAATGTAAGGAATGCGTGCCTTGATGAGGAGGTAGAAGAGGGCGGCGGCCTTGGCGCGGACGACGGCGTGCGGCAGGTTGCAGTGGCGCAGGATCTCGAAGCAGAGGTCGCCGCAGTAGCTGGTGTTGGTCCAGCGGAAGAGGGTCTGCGGGTAGGTGTTGATGAAGTAGCGCAGCGTCGAGAACAGCGAGCCGAGCAGCGACACGCTGGACTCGCCCTGGAGCAGCAGCCCGAGCGCCCGGAACAGACATTCCTGCGCGCGGCGGTGGGTGTATGGTTAGGCCACGTCACGGTTCACATTATACATAATGCAAGCAATGTGCGGAATGTCGGGGGGAGGTGGTGCCGTGCCATGTGCTCCTTGGTCTGGTCCTTGAGTTCGAAATGAAAGTCGAGCATGAATTCATCGGCGACGTCGAGCACCGTGAATCCCAGCTCGCGCTTCAGATGCGGCTCCTGTGATAGACGACGGGCCGTCAGCCGTGTCCACGACACACACACAACATACAGCAATATTGAGAGAGGAATGCGTGGAATGCGTGCCTGGAATGTCTGGATGGCGAGGCCCACGATGACGAAGAAGGCCTTGACATTCTTGAGAGTGTCCTTCTTCCACCACTGGCGCAGGAGCTTCAGGTGATCGCAGTTCTTGACGATCCACATGAAGCAGACCAACCAATCGCGCCTCTCCTCATCGCTCATGCCCTGCAGGATCGTGGCCCTCTCCAACAACTGTGCGTGCCCAACACATCGCACGCAGGCACCGCACACACCATCGCACACGACACGCATGGGTGTGAGAACATCATCAGCAATTAAGGAGTGAATGTGGGGGACCGGTACGAGGAGAATGTAGGGGAAGTAGATTCCAGCGACGCGCTGCTTGGCCGCGGGTTCCTGGTATCGCTTGTCGGTGTCGTGCTTCCACAACAACCACCGGAGCGTCGAGATGGCCTGCAGGAGGAGCGAGTCGGATTGTACAAATGGTGGGGTATTGGTTATTCATTTCTATAATAAAAATTATAGACGTGTTTTCATGTTGAAGTAGAGTGGCCGGTGCCGCCGTACCTCGGAACGGATGAGCTTGTCGCGGTGGAGGCATGCAGTGATTTCGTGGATCACGAGACCAGCCAGGAAGTGCGATTTCCTGTAAACAAACAACACGATCACAAAAAAAAATAAAAATAAATGAGTATCAGGAATTGAAATTACAATATAACAATTACAACTTGTAATCATTTTGAATGTAAATAGTGATGAATAATAGAAAAAAGAGGGGCTGGGCTACCAGAACTGGGCTGGGATGGCGGGAACAGACACGATGCCGGGCGATACGGGCACGTTGAGGGGCACGTAGTGCTCGTGGTCGCACACGATCTTGAGGATGTTGAACTTGAACTTGACCAGCACCGCCGAGTCGTTCGTCGGACAAATCTTGGCCACGTAGTCATCGACCTGCCCATCGCGGTTAGAACGACCGCACACGCACACGCACACGCACCACCGCACACGCACACGCACACGTACAAACTCGTACCATTCCGAGCACGGCACCGCGGTCCATGACGGAGAGGAGGTCCTTGAGGAAAAGGCCGACGCTGGTGTTGAGGTCGGCGGCCACGAGCGCACACCAGGGCTCGCCGTTGCGAATCCCGCGCATGATCAGATGCACGAGCTTGCCCAGCTCGTCCACGAACTCGGGCGCGAAGTACTCCTTTCGTCGGCTGTCGTCTCCTGTGTACACCGCACCCAAGACCCGTGAGTAATAAATAATATTTTATTTAAGTATATAAATAAATCAAGAAAAATGTAGCGTATTTATGGTCATTTTTCTTTTTCTTAATTAATTAATAGAATTATTCAATTATTGTGTGAAAGAATGTTGGTGGGCAGGCGTACCCAAGAGACCAGCCTTCTTGAGGGTCAAGAGCATGGACTTGACGATGGCTTCGAACAGGAACCAGGCGAAGCGCGCCACCTCTGGCAGCATGATGAGGCGGAGCCATTGCCTGCAGAGGGCCTCGTGGAGGGGCGTCTTGGTCTTCTTGGGCAGGTCGAGCACGTACTCGAGGTACGACGTCAGGTTGGGGTTCCGCGTACGCCGACCGCTCACCAGCGTCATCACCTCCACACTACATACGCGTGCACATCAGTGTGCGTGTGCGATATGCGTGTGCGTGTGCGTGTGCGGTGGTGCGTGTGCCAGTCAGGAGGTGAAAACCTGTTGAGGAGGACGGGGATAGCGAGGAAGGCCTCGCGCGCGGCATCGGGCGACATGTTGCACATGACGTAGGCCAACTGGTTCAGCAGGACCGGGAAGAACTGCACCTGCGCCTGGCCCGACGCCTGCTTGATCCCCTTGATGGCCTGTGCGCGCGTGCGTGTCAAGAAGATCATTCCAGGAATGCAGCGCATGTGAAGAATGCACGGAACTTCTACCTTGTCAAGGAGCTCGTCGTTGCGTTCGGAGGAGTAGTGCTTGAAGAAGGCGTGGAGGTGCTGATCCTGTGTGTAGAGCGTCGAGACGAGCTTCGTTCGAACGATGAACAGCGGCTTGCCATTGTCGAGCCACTGCAACGCGCATCACCCAACCGATTAGTGTGTGTTGTGTGCGGTGGTGGTGTGTGTGCGCTCGCGCGCGCGGCAAGGGCTGTTGGGGAGTACCTGCATGCTTTCTTCGACGGCCGATGAGCGGTAGGAGGCCACCACGGCGCTGGACACCGGCAGCCGCTTCGGCTCGTCGGTCAGCACCCTGCCTTCATCATCCAGCAGCGGCAGATAGGCGTAGGCACACACCGACTAACATGTCCAAATCAATAAGCTATCTTTGTCGTGATGCTGTGCGTGTGTGTGTGGTGTTGTGTGTGTGTGTGTGTGTGTGTGTGTGTGTGTGTGTGTGTGTGTGTTGTGCGTGCGTGCGTGTGTGTTACCTCGGTCTGCGACTTGGGCTTGACGCCGACGTTGTAGAAGATGAAGAAGAGGTGGTGCTGCGGCCCGAGCTGGCTGGGCAGCCGGACCTTGATCTCATGGTAGTAGGTGGGCTTCTTGTCGTTGATCCGGATCGCCGTGTCGAACTGGGACACGAGCTTGCCCCGACTGCTGCCTCCATAAATCGCCTGAATTCCAAATGTTAAGGAGACGGCAGCAGCGTGGGGGAATAAGTTTAAGGTGGCGCGCTGACGAGGAGTAAGCCCGTACCGGAAGCCCGGAGGCCTGGGGGTCGGCGTCGGAATCGCGAAGCTGGACGCGCACGCCGATGTTCTTGCACTCGCCCTTGCCCTTCCACTTGTTGAGGTTGACCGAGTCTATGTACACGTACCTGCGGTACCACCGCCAACCTCCATCGGTGAGTACAGGGGATTATTATTATTATTGTTATTAATGTTAATATTATTATAGTGTTGTTTCTGGTGGAGGAGGGTACAAGTGGTTGACGTAGTCGATGGCGGGGGACGGTTCCTGCCTCTCCTGGTTGAACCACGCGATCTCCTTGATGAACTGCACGAATTGTTTTTGAAGGGACTTGAGCACACGTACCACCGCACACGCGCACACGACACGACACGCGCGCAAGGCATTGGGGTATGTATGGTATGTACGTCGGAGCCGGCGGGTTGGACAGGCACGTAGGAGGGGTCGATGCGGCCGGGCAGCTCCACCAGGTCCTTGTCCTCGAGCATTGTGGCGTCCATCTTAAAGTAGCCCGGAATGAACTTGGCCTGCATTTCGTGGATATTTAGGAACGCACAGTTGACACAACGCACGCGCACACGACACGACACGACACGCACACACAGCGTCGAAGGCGCACAACAACGGTACCTTTGTGTCCTTCTCGCGCTTCTTGATGAGGTCGTACAGTTTGTCGTCGCTCTGGTCGTCCTTGATGCGGGTGAGATTCTGCATCACCACCTCGCGCGGCAGCACGAAATTGCCCTTGTCGTCGAAGACCTGTTGTGGTCACCCCAGCAGCCAGTCGTCAGTGACGCAGAGCGACACCTTAAATGTCAAAGTGGTCTGACCCACGAACCTGAACCGCGGACCAGGCGAACGGTTGCGTGTACTTGCCCAGACGGTCGCAGCTGGCCTCCAGCTCCTTGATGAACTTGGCCCGCTCCTTTTGCTTGATCTGTTGTTGTGTTGTGTGTGTTGTGTGTGTTGTGTGTTGTGTGTGTTGTGTGTGTTGTGTGTTGTTCAATGGGTTACGCGGTTATGCATGTAAGTTGCTCTGGAACGCGCGCTTTGTACGAAAAGACTTGCGATGCGAGAGAGGCGGCGTACGGTGGCGTGCTTGAAGTAGGGGTCGGCCGCGCTGTCGGGGTCGCCGCGGGCCACCTGCTCGATCCGCAGCACCAGGTAGAGGCTCGACGAGGGCTGCGGCAGGCTGCCCACGCGGAACAGCGCGCGCGGCGTACACGTCTCTCGATCCACTTTCTCGCCATCGCCCTGCGCGACGCGCAACTATTACGCCCAGCCAAAAAAATTTGACACAACACACACGACACACACGACACGACACACACGTGACGTGACGTGGCAGGTACCAGTCGGGTGGGGATGAGCTTGGCGAGCGGGTCGGTGTTGAGGTCAAAGTGAAACGTTTCCGACACGCGCTGCCGAGCCTGGACATCGACGAGGACCAGCGAACAGAAGAAGGGCTCCAGCTTGCCCAGGGCAAACGACAGCTCCTTGCACTCGACCAGGAACTCGATGCCCCTTTGAAAGGAATGCGTGCGTGAGTGCCGTGCGTTCCATGTGGCGCGTGCGGCGCGTGCGGTGGGTAGTGACGCGTCAAGCCATCAGTATGAAAGTAGCAGGGGGCATTGGAGGGTTCGGCGCACCTCTTCTGAGGGAATGGCGCGACTTGGGTTCGGCTGTCGGTCGGGTCCAACTTCTCGGGCCGCGCCAGAGTGTAGGTCTCGAACAAATCGCGCCTGTTTAGAAGCTGGCAATCGCGCACGCACACGCACACA